GTGTAGCCGTGTACACAGTGTAGCCGCGTACACAGTGTAACAGTGTACACAGTGTAGCAGCGTAGCAGTGTAACAGTGTATACAGTGTAGCAGTGTACACAGTGTAGCTGCGTACACAGTGTAACAGTGTATACAGTGTAGCCGTGTACACAGTGTAGCGGTGTACACAGTGTAGCTGCGTACACAGTGTAACGGTGTACACAGTGTAGCGGTGTACACAGTGTAACAGTGTATACAGTGTAGCCGTGTACACAGTGTAGCTGCGTACACAGTGTAACAGTGTATACAGTGTAGCGGCGTACACAGTGTAGCTGCGTACACAGTGTAGCTGCGTACACAGTGTAACAGTGTATACAGTGTAGCCGTGTACACAGTGTAGCGGCGTACACAGTGTAGCAGTGTATACAGTGTAGCGGCGTACACAGTGTAGCGGCGTACACAGTGTAACAGTGTATACAGTGTAGCCATTTACACAGTGTAACAGTGTACACAGTGTAACAGTGTATACAGTGTAGCCGTGTACACAGTGTAGCGGCGTACACAGTGTAACAGTGTATACAGTGTAGCCGTGTACACAGTGTAGCGGCGTACACAGTGTAACAGTGTATACAGTGTAGCTGCGTACACAGTGTAACAGTGTATACAGTGTAGCCGTGTACACAGTGTAGCCGCGTACACAGTGTAACAGTGTATACAGTGTAACAGTGTATACAGTGTAGCCGTGTACACAGTGTAGCAGCGTAGCAGTGTACACAGCTTAGCAGTGTACACAGTGTAGCAGTGTAGTGATGAACGCCTGTCACCTGAGAGCTAGAGAGTGAGCCAGGAGTTTAAAACCAAGATGGCCTGCATCCTTGGACTCTGGGACAGTTTATGGCTCAGTGAGTGATCCCATAGACAGCAGCTTAGAGAGGCAGGGAAGCTGGGGCCTGAGTCCCACTCGCCCACATGCTGAGTGCCAGAGGAAGGATACAGGGAGAAGGCCAGAGTGAGCAGACACCAGAACACAGCGATGTTGGTCTCCTGGACTGGGCCCAGCACAAAATAGTAGGCCTCTGTGAAGAGGTACACACCAACAGAGTACACAGCGAAGTCGACGAACCACTGGTATTCCAGAAAGAACCGCAGGACTGCAGGGACAGGAGCCTCAGTCACCTGCTTCAGGCTCCCCAGCAGCTGGGGAGGGGACTGGGGACCGGACTGGGTATTACCTAGGGCGTCCACAGCAGTGAGGGGACAGGTCTCCAGCTGGAAACGGGCATCTCGAGGCACTGACAATGGCTTCTCATCATGAAGACCATTTGCCCACCTGAGCACAGGGATAGTGAGAGCCGAGGTCTACAGCCATCTCCTTCAGACCTCCTAGAAAGCTTGGGTGCTGATGGCCTGGGAAAGACCTTCAGCCACTTCAGGTGTAAGGGCAGGCTAGACACAGGGCCAGCCAGAGCAAACAGCCAGAAGTACAGCAAGATGCTAACCGCTGCCACCATGTCCAGCAGGCACCGTAAGTGGGAGGGCATAGCCCTGCCTGGGCCCCATGGGGTAAAAGTGGGAGCCACTCACCGTTCCTTCCTGCCCCGGGGCCTCAGTTTCCCTGCCAGCGCCCGCAGTTCCTCTTCTGACGGGTGTATGTACCGGAACAGACTGAGGGAGAAAAGAATCAGGAAAGCTTGGCCTAGGGGCATGAGGCAAAGAACCTGAATCTGGTCTTGAAAATAGATCATTGGGCATTGGCAGAGCTGGGGCAGGGCGGGGGCAGAGCTGGGGGCAGCAGAGCTGGGGTGGGGACGGGGCGGGGGCAGAGCTGGGGCGGGGAGGGGCGGGGGCAGAGCTGG